CTAGCCCCACAAGCAGCATAATAACAATTTTCAATGATAGGTAATTTTAGAAAATTCCCTCAATTAAAATTCTAAAAATTGATCTGTGAATATTTCCTTGCTTATATTTTGCACAACAAATAATTAAAATGAAAAGCTTCTTCAAAGGAAATACATAAACATTTTTGTCTTTCTTTTCTTTTTTAAAGATTAAAATGGTTTCTTCTCGTCAGGAGACTACTTGGATAGTCTCGTCAGGTATTGGCAGCTTACTTAAAAAATAATAATAATAGATTCTTTAGTATTGTAGTAAAATGCATGGGACTTAAAAGTTGACATTTTAACCATTTAAAGGTTAAATGGTTCATCGGCCCAAGCACATTTTTATTTTTCTTAGGTGGGGGAAGGAAAGGAAACCCATTACTAAAAGTAGCATCTTCTTTCTTTGTTTGCCTGAAAATAATCAATGATTCCACAGCAACAGTCTATTCTAACTTAAACACAAGGCAAAAACACAATTCCTCTCCAATTTCACAATTTTTTTTTTCCTGTCTTTTGGTAACTATCTTGGTGATGCAGTGTCTAGACTTCTTGGAACAAGTGATAGAGTCTGGAATTTATTCTGTGGGTTTAAAATGGATACTCAGGTCTATGTACTTCTGCGAGAAAATCTGGTGTTTTTAGAATATATAAAAATCAGCAAACTGTTTGTTTACCAAGAAAATAAAATTGCTCCATTAATGTCAGCACTCTGAGCTGCTACCAAAAGGAAAGTATTGTATTGTTGTACCTACTTTATTTTTTCATCTCATTATGATGTGATTCCTATCAGTTCTATCAAAGCCTTGCAAAACTATTTGTACTCATAATGAAGGATAGTAGATATTTTCTAGCTGTTGAGAAGTAACACTAAAAACAACAACTAGCTTAAAGGATATGTATCCATTCTTATGGCTTAAAAAAAAATAGCCCATGGAAATTTGTCAATTCATAAGGATAGAGTTTTTGTATCAGAGGTTATTTTCTCATTCCTGTGTCGTTTGCTAGCCAGCTAAAATGAAAGCGGTCTGTGAGGCTCCAAGGTCTAAACAAAGTTTGTGCAGCCTGGATTATTATGTCTGACTGGAGTTTATCTGTGCTCTTAAGGAAATCAAACTGTGCTTGCCGAGAAAGTTCAGAGTTATTTGTCACCAATTGCCTAAAGCTGAGAGTTGATCTTACACATAGCTGTAGTCATTTCCTGCAAGTACTTGCTCCTAATGTCACAAGATTGACACTTACTGAGGCTTTACTCTAGAAATCTGTATCTACCATGGAGTTTTATTGCAAAAACTTTATCAAGAGATAATAGTCTTAAGGGACATTAAAACCCCATTGCATGGCCTTTATAAAATGAATCTGCAATTAATTTTCAAACTTTGTCTATTCAAACTCAAGTTTGTCTAGTAAGTTTGTTTATGATGACCAAAAAAGAAGGCATCCAAAGTATCATTTTTCCTTAAAAACAGACAAATAGACACATTCAGCTGATCTCATATATGCTCAGATACTATAAATCACTGTCGGTTCTGTTCAGACAAGCAGCCACATATAAAATCAAAATCCAGTTATGATATAAGTGAAGCATAGGGAGTTGCCCACTTAGAAGAAAATTAGGTTCTCTAACTATAAAGTGAACATTTAAAAAAATGTGGAAATGGCAATGAAAATGTTAATCAAAGATATATCATTTCTATATTTCTTAATTGAAACTCCAATTATTAAAGTCATTTAGTAAAAAAAAAAACAATTTGATATCTCTATTACATCAGGATGATAAAATGGAAGCTCTAAGGACCTAATTTAATTTCAAAGATAATGAAGTTGAACAAAAACTGTGCAGAATCAAGGGTCAGAAGAACTGGAGTTTATTCCGATTATCAGTTTCTAAGTAGGAGACTAGTCTCTGTAATGCACATTTTTTTTTTTGGGAGAGAACATCAGTCCATGAATCTGCACCACTTTTGGTGATGTGCATAGCACCCTCAATGTCCTGAGAGGTGTGAAGATTCACTGATTCAGTTTCCTGACCAAAACACAGATGAAGATTTGAGGAAGTTAGAGTCATTTGAAGAAGTTTAGCTAAGGAAAGAAACTCTTTCCTCTCTTTCTCACACATACCCACACAAACACCCTTTTTCACTAACTACATGATAAAAGGGATGCCCAGCGATGAGGTAGAGTGTCACGGAGATAGAGACTATCACTCGCATGGGCCCAGGATGTGTTGCTAACTCTTGTTCACAGAAACAAGTCTCCTTAGAGAGACAGACAGTGGAGGAGGGGATCAGAGTAGAGATGGGTGCCAGTCACCCTCACTCTCAAGCAACAGACACCCATTCCCACTTAGGCCCAGCTTCAGAGTGTGTAATCACTAATCATGGAATCAGAGTGTCCTTTTGTTCATCTATATCAAATTTTTGAAAACTATGACCAAAAGGTAGAACACAAGTCATAGCAGAGTCAACTCTGTGCTTAGATAAATTCAACCTTAGTAAATATATATTCACACTTGCTACATGTGTATGATTTTTTGAGAGATTCAATTAAAGAAATATTTCCCAGCATGTGGTCTTTAGCACACTAGTTCTGAGAACATATAGGCCAGATGCATGCAGGCACGCACGGATACCACAATACAGCTTTAGAAATGCTATTGGAGTCACCTATATTTAGGTGTCTATAATATATGATTTCTCAGTTGTCAGTTATATCTCAATGTCAAAAAAAAAAATATGTTATGCAGCATAGAGCAGGTACACGGCAACACAGAATTTTTTTTTTTTTCCTCGATGAAGCTGGCATCCACTGAGGGACATCAGTTCCTAGACTGAAATATGACTCTCGATTTCAGTTCAAAAATGATTAGCAGCAGATACTGTATGCTTATTGCCCCCTTCGGAGCACAACAATGACAAACAGAGTTTACTAAAGTATCTGTGTAAAGGTTATACAAACATATTATGGGGTGACAAAATTAATATCTACATTGAGCTCAGAATTATCGTTGACAAAAAGGCATGTAAGATTTATAACTGGAAATAGAAGGCTTTACCTGTTGTGCTTCTGTTTACTTTTATCAAGCCATGGAACAATGATTTATTGAAAAGCGTACATTGTGTGCTGTATGGGTGATGGAGTGCAGCCTGGCCCACGCCTTGAAGGAGAGGCCCGTCTGGACAATGCTGTAGAACAGAAGACAGATGAATGTTGCGAACATAAAGAGGACAGGGAATGGAATCTCTTTTAGCTTTTAGCTATAAAGATCAATTAGTAATATCACAGGACCTTTCAAGCAATTGCTCTTGGTCTAAGTTTCAGGTTGTTATATTTGTATAGATAGGACTCGTGTTCGGTGGTTACTTGTAATAACACATGGATCACAGCTGGCAATACGGTCTATTTAATTTAGAGTTGTTTCATTACATCTGTCTTTATTTTAGCAAATAGATATGGTAGGACAGTGCTTCGATTTGGTTTACAATGTTGTTTTTTTTTTTTTTTTTTTTTTACAAAGTTGCCTTGCTAGTATAAATCTTCATGATTATGGAACAGCTGATGAAATAATCTTCATTTATATATTTCCCTTTCATTGAAATATTTCCTCTCCATTCAGATATTTCTCTTGATTCTGATTCAACATGTCTCTTAAAGATGAAAGTACCAAGACACAAGACATATTAATTTGGATTTTGCATATGTATGTATGGTCTTCATACTTAACAAACTCAGAATAAAGAATCCAACTTGTGGACCCTCCTTGGTGGTCCAGTGAATTAAAGAGCAGCAATGCAAAGCTAGCTGCAGCTGCTTCAGTGCAAGTTCGATTCTCGGCCTGGGAGGTGATCCACATGGCACAGTAGACCTCTCCTGTCTCACCTGCTGCTCCAGTCAGAAGTGTACTTTGTCAATCTGCTTTTTCTGCTCCTCACTCTTTCTCTGGTGAATCCTCTCATTCTGCATACCTCTGGCCTGTATCCCAGTTCTGTATGCATAAAAAAATAAGTCTAAAAGGAAAAAAAAAATGAATCAGGCTTGTGATTTCTATGGAAACCATTATAAATTGAGAAACTCCCTCTTCATTAGCTTATTCTGAAGTTCTACGGTGTTGGTCAAGTTTAGAGATTCAGAAATGTAGTTGATTTTATAGAAAATCACATTCCCGAAAAGTAGAACTTTGAATTGGCCTGGGCAATGTATATTAGAAGTAAGAATATAGATGATAGCATGTGCTTATATAGATGAGCAAGTAATTCAGAGAAGACACTCTACAGTGCAAAAAGCCATATTATTTCCCAATACAAATGTTACTGAATCCTACCACTTAGTGAAAAATGAGTAGAGACTGTTTCATTGTTTATCCAGATAAAGAAAATTTGGAGAATTGAAGGAGCTGATGAAGATATTGACAGTGGCATGAGACTTGAATGGGGGAAGGGCTCAAAAGGGACTTCAACATAATCCTCAATCCTCTATTTTTTGCACATACAAAAAGTGATAATAGATAACATGCGCCAATTCTGAATGTTGCCATACAAGTTTATCTTGTATTCTTTTTCTGATTTTAAGTTAGGAAAGAAATTGTTCCTAACAAAGTGATGATTCATTCATTCAACAATTTGTTGAGAGCCTACTACGTGATAGGTATTAGCAATGAAATGCGTGAAAGAAAAAGACATCACTGGCCTCACAGAAGAGTTTACGTTTTAACCGATGAAAGTAAATGTTTGAGATCTGATCTAGAAGGCTTGAAAAGGCTCAGTAAGTGGGAGTGAAGCCACGTTGACCCCACTGATACTGTGAAGGTGGGCTGCTCTTGGCATTGACTTGTTAAGCAAAGATCATTCTCTGCTGATGGTGGTGAAAATAGAAGTAAACTTGAATCTGGGTTGGAATGGGTCATACAGCAGTGTCAAGTGCTCGCTCCTTTCTCCCTGGTTGCAATCCCAAGTTCACCTGCATTTTTCTTTGATTCCCTCTAGTATATGACTGCTGCCGCACCCATGCAAGGGACCTACATCCCCCAGTACACGCCCGTGCCTCCGACAGCTGTGTCTATTGAAGTAAGTCTGCCTCTGCCTCATGGAAAGATGTTAGGGGTGCCTAATGGATAATGCTAGATGTTAGGGCATTATCCTGGCATAAAATCCCGGGTGCATACGGTGTCCCCTGAGCATCACCAAGGGGTTTTTCTATGTGATTTGTGGACTGTTCTCATAGTTGTGTTTATCAGCTTACGCATATTAAAGTATATACCTTTACTTGAACAAGCCTGTTTTAGCTTTGGAAATGAAATAAACTAATTTGCTTTAACGGTATGAGGGGACTACTGTTTTCATATTTAGAGAAAAGATCGGAGACTGAATTATTGCCCCATTTAAATGCTAACTGTAAATACTCATGAATGGCAGTAGCAGGGGACATAGAGCGCAATCATTTGAATGAGCTCGTTCTTGCACCTGTTACTCAAGCTGTGGTTCCTGGGCCAGCGTCATCAACATCCATGTTTCCATGTCAGAAGTGGAAACTCTCAGACACCACCCAGGCTGAATGAGCATGTGCACTTTAATTTTAAGAGGTGTTGGACTGGCTGTAGAACTTTTCTGAACATTCAATTTATAATTTATTTCAGGAACTTAAAAATCAGTGATGCCTGTTTCCTATCTTCAGAGGTTCTGAGATAGAAACTGGACAGCAGTTTTTTTTTTTTTTTTAAATCAGGTGATTCTAATCTTAAGATTAGAAAGATTAATGCTGTGGTTTGTGGTATCCTGCAGACAAAAACAAAGGTTACACTACATAACCATCGCTGTGGGCCACGGGTATGATGAAGTCAGCACTTCCTTGATGGAAATTCTGTCCCGCCCCTTCTCTCTTTCCATTGGGGAGATTCCATTCCTATACTTGTGATTTTACTGGATAAATCCGTAAGCTTCATAGGAAGCTCTGTGGATGGTGATAAAACTCTTAGAAAGGAAGCTCTGTGGATGGTGATAAAACTCTTAGACACATATGCTTCTAGATCTCTGTTTGCTTGTTTTCATCTTGTTTGCCTTTAGTATATGACAAATGTTTACTAGCACTAAGGATGTGCTATTTCTAAACTCTTCATATGTTTCAGAGAAGTGATCTCAAAGGAGATGTCAAGAGTGAACAGATTTTAATTGACTTTTCAGAATTTCAAGACTGTGATTAAAATACATGTTGCATGTAGCTATCAAAAAGAATTGAGGTCATCAGAAAATTATGAATCTGGTGACCATTGATCCTTTAAGCATATGTCTCTGTCATATACCTACAGTTCTCTCTGTCTACACTAAATGTATATGCTGATATTCAGAAACGGGGCATTTGGAAAACTATGAAATAATGAGAAACATTCCATAGCCATTCTTATTGCATTCTAATTGCAGTGAAATCTGAAATTTAAAAAGAAGTCTTTCACTGAAAAAAGATTATGCTCTGATATATTGCCTTGAATTTGTGCTTATTAGAAAAATGACCGATTCATCTCCCATGTAAAAACACACTTGACAATTCACAGTACCCACACCAATAAATGCTGGTAAGAGGTGACAAAAATGCATAATACCCAACAGTAATTTAGGAAGGGGGAAAAAATCAATTGTTATAGTATGTTCAGATTCTCAGGAAAATTTTAGGGGTCTTTATTTAGAAACAGCACTCAGCAAGAGCTTTTGACACCAGACATTGCGACAGGTACCTACTAAGGCGATAAAGAAAATCGCCTTAGTATTCTTAAATTCTTTCCATTAAGAAAGAATGCTTTCTGATAGATGCCCTTTTTAGACGTATCAACTACCAAATAAAATCACCCTTCTCCCTCTCAAAACCCAACAAACATTCCTAACGATAACCAGCTCCAGTCATGCATTTTCTTGTCTCCTGTGAGCCTAAGACATTGAAAGGATGAGGGAGGAGAACACGCAATTAAGGATGTTTGTTTCTTTCACTGAAACCTCTAAATGAACTGCAGTCCATGTTTTGGAAATCAGAATAAAATAACAGAAATCAAATAGCTGATGGGAAAACCTAATTAATGGTGCCCATTTCAAAGAATCCCAAAGTCTGCTTAGGTTTTTTGGGGGTTTTGTTTGTTTGTTTGTTTTTGTTTTGTTTTGTTTTGTTTTAAGATCAGAGCCCATTATTCCATCATATCACACATAGAGCAGTTATGCTACCCCAGGAAAATGTTAGAGTGTGCAAGTTTTTGTAGGAAAACTTCCCATGTGAAGTTTGTTGTTTTTATTACCATTATTTGTCTGTTACAATCTCAACTTAAAAGCTCAAAGTATGAGTGAAATAATTTTCTGATCACTTGACTGCTCCAAGGACATCTGATGATAAGGTTAGGAAGTTAGTTCTTGGCAGCTCATGGAGATAAATTTATCAGCCCTGATTGCAATGTGCTCTGAGGTTTTCTTCCATAGAAACGTCTAGTAGCCAAGAGTAACTTTACTCAAGCCAAAGAGAAGAGGGGTATTCGCTGAGGCCAATAAGGCTTTCTGTTTTGATTTGCCTCCTTAGGGTGTCGTTGCTGATACCTCTCCCCAGACAGTGGCACCTTCGTCCCAGGACACGAGCGGTCAGCAGCAACAGATAGCAGTGGACACATCCAGTGAACACGCACCTGCATATTCTTATCAACAGTCTAAGTAAGTTTGACTATACTAAGCCCTTTCCCTTAAGATCTGCCATCTGGACAGCACCCTAGCATGTTGTATCTATTAGCTTTTGCTGCAATACAGACCAGCTCCAAATTAGTGTATTTATTTAATTCACGATTATATACTTTGGCAAGTAGAACTGACCTTTGTTGAATGGTTCTTCTGCTCTTGACTGGACTTGCTCAAGCAACTGAAGTGAGCCACTGGGCCATGTCTCCACCTTGATTCTAGATGCTACTTAGCTGCTGACTGAGTGACGTAAGCCACTGATCCAAGTGTTTTTGGATCTTCCAAAGACTTACTCACACGAAGTCACAAAATTCAAAGAACAGCAAGGGAAGAAGCCCAAATGGCCTGTATTTTCCAATTTTGTTTGTGATTCACTACCTACTGCCCCAGATAACCACATCAAGTCACACAGAAGCCCAGGATTAATGTAAACATTAACTACCAAAAAGCTTTGTTACACAGAGGGGCATGTTAGCCATTTTTTATTTAAAAGAGCTACCGCACGTATTTCTGAGAAATTTCTAGTATCCCCACTCAAACTGCATAATGTCTCTCTATGTTTTGGTCTCAGTTTCCTCTTTCTTAGCTGAAGACAGTAACACAGTATCCCCCCCCTTGCGGGGTTGCTCTGAAAACCCAATAAAATGATCCGTGGCAAAGGGCATTAATTTATAGAACAACAAAGAAGAAAATCTTATTAGAAAATAAATGGCAAAGCGAAATTCAGGTAGTCAGATACTCTGAAAAAATCTCGAAGCACTTATCAGCAAACAGTTGCCTTTGTGTTATGTAATCATGTAGACTAAAATTTGAAAGCTCTTGATTGAAACTCATGGGATTATCAAAAATGCATTCTATATACAGTTGTCTTATCACGCAAAGTAGTCTACTTTTTATATACATCTCAAAGTCTTGGAGAATAGAGAATTCCCACATGATCCTTCCTAAGTGCAGAATATTGTTCTCTGTATCATAATCCTTTAGCTTCAAATATGAATGCTGAGATGACAGGGATGTTTGTTGCTGGAAGAATAATCAAGGTAATGGAATCTTCTGTATGTGATTCTAAGGTCACTCTGGCAAATTAAATTCTAACATTAGTAGAACACATGACTTAACAGTTCAGTGAAGTTTGCAGTAATTAAAAAGGTGTTTTGCTCCATCTAACTGACAACTGTTGATAGGTATCTATATGTGACGGCTATATTGTAGATAAAGCAAGAGCAGTGGAAGAGCCTCTTAACGTTGACTTTCTACTAGTAGACTCAGGATGGTGGATCCATCTAACAGCATATAATCAAAGAAATAGAACAGCATGTAGATTATGTAAAAAGATTCTTGTGATAAAAAGTGACTGGGTTAGATTTGACACAAGGGGAGAACTGTCACATAGACCTGGGTATGAAAGATAACCAGAAACTAATTTGGCGGAGATTTAGACCCAGAGAGAGAGAGTTTTTCTTCCTCTCGTGGGCCCCTGCACTCTGTCCACCTGTATCCTAGCCGAGTTCCCTTAGAGCACCCAGAGTCATGTCAAGTTTTGTGCTAGGAGACAGACGACAGACACCCTGCCCTTAGAAGTTTATGATCAAATATAAGGGTTTCTTCTCCACCTGGACAGGTTTTGTATTCTGCAAGGAAGAAAGTAAACAAGTCCCTCTTTGAAGAACTATAAAGAGAGTGCATTTATGTTTTCTTGGGTGGGTAAGTTCTACCACAGGTGTGGCAACAGGAACTGGGTCTTATCGGCTCAAAGAGTGTTCCAGGTGGAGTAAGAGCCTGACCAAAGACCAGGGTTGGGAAAGCTCAGAGAGTTGCTTTGATGAATGGATGCAGGGTAATAAAAAGTGTGAGGAAACAACTGCATCCAGATTGTAATAATCAGCAACAACTCGATGTACCCAGAGAGCAGTCCCTTTGTTCTTCCATAAGAAGCGAATAATGGATTGGAAACAGTGGAACCGTTCTGTCGCTGCAACGGTTCAGACAAGAGAAGAATGGGGGCGTCAACGGTGATGGTGGCAGAGGGGGTAGTCTGGAGAAAAAGAAAAGCAGGACTTTAAATTTTGAAGCAAGGTGATAGAGTTATTGATGCCAGCAAATAAAAGCCCAGGAGGGCATGATTTGAGAAGACAACGAATTTAATTCCTCTTACAGAGTCAATTTGAAGCAGCGATAGTCTGAAATAGTTGGCAAAGTCTGACTCTACCTAGGAAAAAAAGCTTTAAGTATCTGTATTTTTTAAAGCTATTGGCGCATCAGGCTTACATGCCTTAAATTAAAGCATGGACTCTTATGGCTCAGAGAGCTAAGCTTTCTGAAGATAACAATAAATCAGGGAATAAAATCCTCCATCCCATGTTGTCCAAGAGGTTGAAATTATGGTAAAGGGTTCCTGGTTTGCAGGAATTTTCGTTTTGCTCTCACACATGAACCTGTGATCGATACAGGACATTCCACAGGGCAGGCTCAATGCCGCAACATCCAGAGGTGGAAGGACCCCAGAACATTTCATATGAATGACATGGAAAACCACTTGCATTGACGTGTGCACATTTCTGTAAACCTGGAGAAAATTTTCAACAGGTTGTATCTGTATTGTCAGCGTCCTCTGTCTGACACGCTACCGAGTGTTAGGAGTTTTGACTTGAAACGGCAACCGAAAACATGGGATGAAAACAAAATCACTATCCTAAATCAACTTGTGGATTAGCAATCACTTTTGCAATTATATCAAATGAAGAGAATAATGTGACTCTACCCAAGTTGTTAAGAGTTTCAGCTAGAGAAAGCTGACCTGTGTCACGGTAAGGCAAGAGATTTTTCAGAACCATTCAAGGAAGACAAGGAGAAATGAACACTAATTGTTTCGTTCATGTCCCTGGGAAAACTGTGAGAGATGCCAGAACACCCCCACAACATTTTTTTTTAAAAGACACATTCACTAGAACAGGTAGAAAACAATTTGTACAGCTTGCTCTATACATGTAATAAAACTCCAGATCAGTACTTTTAAATAGTCTTAATGCATTTTACATAAGAAATTCACTCAGGTTGTCCTTGAACTTTTCCGGGATGTAGGGCTCTGTTATCTTCACAGAAGCAGCCAGAAATCTACTCTGTGAAAGTCTTGTTTTGCCACAGATCCTCAAGCAATAGCCCTCAAGCTATAAAATCAAAGGTCCCCTGCTTTCTTGCCAGCTTTCCTGCAGCACGGGGAGTGTCGCTCAACTATTTCAGCCAGTCCACGTTATCTTGTTGAATACTCTAAATTTCCCCAAATGACAGCACATTTCGGCATCATTGTGCTAATGAACATGCCTGCTACTTTCATCAAGCAACCATTTCTAGCAATCATTATGCTAATTGAGATATGGATAATTTCAAACACTTTTACAAACCACTGGCCTTTCTCATTTAATGATCTCTGACCTCCTGTGGGGTGTGAAGTACATATTAGAGTAGCTGAATCCCACTGAAAACTACCTTAACCCATTCCACTGTGTTTAACACCATAAAATGTACATGAAAAATACTTTGAAATAAATTACAGACATCACTCGAGACAGTTGTAGGAGAAATGTAAGTGATGTACGAATGAATCAAAGTGTTCTAATACCGAGCTACAATGGCAAATATTTCAATGGGACATATTCCACTTTCTAAACCAAAACAAATCTTCACCTTTGTTTGCTTTTTCCCCTTATGGCCCACAGAGGTCACCAATACCAAAGGGACTTTGGACTCTGATCCAAAAGTTAGAAATGTGGTTGATTTGGGAAGTTGTGTCCAAATTCAAATTCCGTGCTAAGGGATTTCAGTTTTCTTTGTGCTATTAGAAATCTTCAAAGTAACAAAGATGTGAAAAATGTGTGAGTGTTCAGAGTTTAACTTCAGAAGTCCTCGGCTCAGAGTCCAACATTGCCACATAGTGGGCGTCACTCAATGCGGGACACTTCTTGTCTTCCATAAAAGCAGAGGTAGATCAGAGTGCTCCAGAAAACACAGGTTGCGTTTCTAGGTCTGAGGGAGGATTTAAAGCCTCCCCCTTAAATGCTTAACATAAAATGATGCCCCCCCCCCCGGTGGCACATGGGGATAAAGTGCAGCACTATGAAGCTAACCTAAAAAGAAATGTTTTCTTAATTCTCTTCAGCACCATTAAAATGCTAAAGATTATGATCTCATAGAGGACAAGATAAATACTTCCTTCCATTTTTTTTTTTTCTTCTTTTCTTCCTGATAGATTAGAGTAAGAAGTCCCCTTCCCCTTTGGAATTCTAAGAGATTTTTAAACAAAATCTTGGTTGTCAACAAGAAATTATTTCATGAAAGAGGTTGTTTTTGTTTGTTTGTTTGTTTGCTTGCTTTATATGGTATCCTTCTTTGTGGGTGGCCTCAGCACATGGTTAGCTTACCTCTGGGTATCCCTGTGTGACCGTGTGGTATGCAGCTTTCCCAAACTCCCTCTTTTCACAGAGCATCATGTGAGACAGGAATAACAGTGGAGGTGATAGCATCACTAGATTATTCCAAAAATTCTTCCAGCTCAGAAAGCTTAGAATTCTAAGATTACACGTTGGTACTTCCCAAACTACTCACTCTGCTTTATTTTTTTTTTTCCAGGAGGAGGATGGGAAGGAGGCGAGGGAGAAGGAGGGGATGGAGAATGAGAAGGTTCAAAATGACTATGTTCTTAAACAAACAATTCCTCTTCCAATACTCATACTGACTTAGAAGAAGGCCTTATCTCAACCCCAATGTCTTCAAACCTTCTCTTCAAAATTTAAGTAACTAAACTGTCAGGACCACCAACTCCCTGTTTATTGTCTGTATGTTAATTATGGGCAGGTCTGTGCCCTCGATGATGACCATCTTTATATGTCTCTAAGCTTGTGAGTGCTAATACCTTCTGTTTGACAGTTTGCCGAGAAATTGTTTTCATATCCATTCTTCCATTCACATCAATCCCTATTTTTAAGTTGAAACTGATTTTATTTACAAAAGTGTCTCGTTGTTCACCTTAAAACATTCATCTTGCCAAGAAGCCTGGCCTTAAAAATTTAGGAGTCTTTTATTTTCTGGGTATCGGCCAAACCACGGGCCTTTTATAAACATGAGCTCTCACTCTTCACCTAGGACAGAGAAGGTGGACAGGAGTGAATTCAGCTTCTTTAAATAGCAACGCCTTTTTCATTCAGACTTCAGCTAGCAACCATGGAGAGGGAAAGTGTGACCCTTTTTTTTTCCACCCTTGTCTCCATGTAGTAATGATACCGCGGGAAGAGTGAAGCTGGAGATGGGAGAGAGCAATAGGAAATCTTTATGTAAGATTATTAAACTGAAAAGTATCTCAGTATCATAAATATGGCTGTGTAAGGACCAGAGCATGTGCCACTTCTGGACTGTGCGGTGTTAGCGTACAACCAAGAGTAGCCTGGTACGCCCAAATTTGTTCTCTCTAGGGGAGCTGATCATCTGTGCACACAAAGACACTCAGTGTGAAAGAATCTTGAGGGAGTCAGTGACCACAGAGGAAAGGATGCATGTTTTTCCCAGTAAAACACAGCAAATTATCACCTCCTGCGTGCGAGTAGATACACAAACAGGGTTGGCCAACGTGGTGCTTCCGAGACACGAAAACCTGACACAGGTCTAAGGCACCTTTTCGCAGGAAACCATAGGACAGAGATTCTGAAACAGATCGTAGAAAGCTGAGACAGTCACTGCTCTCTAGAAATTAAGGAGATACCACATCAAGAGAATGGCTGCCACTGTCAGCCACTGTCAATTGTGTTTCTGACAATTGCCTCTGCATGTCTCTCCTCCACCCATCTCCTTCCCTGCAGTACCAGGACGCAAGCTGGGCCATAGGACTAGCAAGAGTTCTCTACAGCCCATTTGCCTTTGTGTTCTATAACTTCATTTGGCTTCTCTAGCTCTACCCTGGGTTATATAGGCTGGGGAACATGGTACCACCACCACCACCCCTGCCCCCTTTATGAAAATCCCTCTGTAACTGATGTCGCCTTTTGCATTAGACACCGTTCAGGTAGCAACACTTGCATAGGTAATGGTACTTTAGACATTCTGCACAATGCACAAGACTACCAGGGTGGCAGATTGAAATGGTAGCACATAGACTGAAACCCAAACAAATACAGAAAAGCAAGAAATAAAATGTTTCGTTCGTATAGAACAAGAAAGAGTTTTAGAAATAGGGTCTATTATGCAAAGGTATATAGAGATCAAATATATGCCAGTATTGCCATGACGGCCGCAAAAAAAAATAATTGTTATAAAAATTTTGCATTTTTTTCTTAAATAAATTCCACTTTCCTATGTGACACAGTGAGAAAATGTGTTTCTAGAGTCTTAAACTATCGATTAAAACATGGAAATAGTCAATCCATCCACTAATTACTTTCCTTTCATGAGTCTAGGAACAAGTAAATCAGATTTCTAACAGCCATGCCTAATTCATAGGAGGGCTTTTTGCAAATTAATAAAAGTAACCTTTCTAGAGCATCGCAGGCTAGCTGGTAAAGTAAAATACAGTCACTGCTCTCTAGAAATTAAAATCCTGATGAGATGGATGTGCCAAGAAGAGGAAATGAACAAAAACTCCACTATCCTCCTACTTGGTCCGCCGCAGGGCTCACGTGACTGTGCTCGGTCCATACCAAAGATAACATGCAACCCATTGCTATAGCCTGGGCGCTGAGCTGGGTGCGTGGATTTCTTGACTGAGCTAATAATGAAGCCATGGGAATTCTGAGGGGGCAGAATGACTCAAGGAATTCCAGACAGGGAGAGAGCTGCATTTCACCTTCAGTGAAAAATAAGTTCCATGCACATAAGGAGAATCGCTTGTCTGATTTTACTTATTACTTTAGAATTGGAATATACTCTTCACCTATTATTAGCCTTGCTATATTATGGGGAAATGCGTATGCGTTTACTTGAAAGTGGCAGAATTGAACACCTTATTAAGCCCAATATGCTTGGACAACTCCCTTGATCGCCTCATTATATTGAAAGAGCTTGGCATCTTTTAAGGAGAACTCACCGGATCTGAGGGAGGTGATTGCAAATGCTTTGACACAATGAACACTCTTATTCAATTGTTTTCACAGACCATAAACAAGACTGAAGAATGTCTGTCTGAAACTTTGCCTTGAATGAAGAGACTTCATTGGACAAGAAGTTGGCATCCAGTTTGCACAAGCGTCAATGGAATGCTTTTTCTTTCTTTTTTTTTTTTAATTTTCTACTTTACCTAATGAAAACAAAGCATTTTTATGTGCTGTGCAAATGGTTCCTTCATGTGGTCTGACAATTTATTTTTGCCATCATTTTTTTTTAATTAAAGAAAAAAATCCCAGAAGAGGGAAAATAACAACCAAACAAAAACATGGAAGGTTCACATTTTATCTGGAAGAACATTTGAATTCAAAATTTATCAGAAGGTGTAGATAGTTTTTTGTTTTGTTTTGTTTTGTTTTTTAAAAGAAAATCTGATGTCAAGAGGCAGGTCAGCAAAAATGGAAAAAAAAAAAAGTCCTCCTAAGAAATTAAGCTGCATTTCTTTTTCCCTTCTTGTTAAAATCTTGTAAGTTGGGTTTTTTATTATTTTTTTTTCTTAGAAATATTTAGGTAAGGTTTATCGTGAATCTTAATTGCCTTAATTTTAAGGACGTCAAAGGCTCTCAAGGCAAGCTGTCAACGTCTTGTTAAAAAAAAAAAAAAGACAAACAAGAAAGAATCGAAATATTGTGCCGACTTTAACTGGCATAGAAGTTTAAGACTATGAGTTTTTAGGGTGAAAAAAAACTGTACAGTTTAAAGAAAATGTTTTTCTTCATTTGAAGAAAATTTGTTGATAAAAGAAACCATGGCAACTGCAAGAATTGGGAAAATGCTGGGACTTTTCATGAACTTTGTCTTAAGTGTTGAATCATTCTAGAAGGCTAAAACATTTTACGGTAAAGTTATTAATGTTGGTTCAAAAACAACTGCATTAGAAATAATGCGTGTTTGGGGGGCAGAATGCAGATTTTTTTTATTTACAAAGCGTGATCGCTAGCAAGAGCATTAGTGCTTTTTATCTGCAGTCTTTTTTATGAGCTTTACAAAGTTTTTAGTCAGCTTTGCTTGTCACATTGCAAAACCTAGCTTAAGAGCATTAAAAAAAAAAACTTAAGTAGATAGGAGCTTATGGTCAAAAAGTGCAAAAACAAAAAAACAAACAAACAAAAAAAAAAAAACAAAAAAAGCAATAGATAGAGAAATTGTTGACAATTTCTGTAGTCTTTCCTAGTTGTGATCAAATTCAGCCTATGGATGGCCTATTTTATACCAAAGATGAAGTGGCACCCTATCGCAGTCCAGAAGATAAAGGTTGTTTTGTTTTCTTTTTTTCCTTTTGAAAATTTTATTTGACCTACATGGCCGGACCAGTTCTTACGTTATCGTTTGTTTAAACTACCTTCCACTGGTGTATTACACACTGCAATTTTTTTTTTAAATGTTTATCTGTTGATAGCGAAAGCTTGCATCTGCTGTGTTCAGTGGTTTCAGCTGAAGAGTTTGGGATACGAACTGATAGAGCCAAATGGCTTGAAAGTCTGCAAGCTTTTCTGGTTTCTTGCTAACTCGCTTGTATAGTAAAACCTGTGTTGATGACCATCAGTAATCTAAGAGTCCTGTTTAACAGGCTGAAATTTCTTTAAGTGAATTTTGAACTGAAGACACTTTCAAGTGGCCTGAAAGGTCACTTGTCAAAAAACAAACACACGCAAACACACTTAGTGACGTTCTGTTAAGTGGTGAGCGGTCTCCTGAAAAGGTCTCATTGTATTTGTAACAACAGTCTTCCTTCTAAATTCCAACACCTTTAGTTTTGTCTAAGCACTCAGTCTGTGTCAGGTATCTCCCAGGAATAGTCACATTGGCTCTGCAGTTGGGAAGGGGTTATCTTCTTCTTGCCTCTTTTCTTGTTTGTCTGTTTGTTTTCCATATCCTGGTGTTGTCAGAAGAAAGACAAAATAGACCTTTTTACTGCAGTTTAACTCTCTGAGGCAAGTAGGACCAATAAGATTGAAAGTTCTAATAGTGGAATTTAGGGAAGCTTTTAAAATGCTAGGTGACAATCAAAAAAAAAGAAAGAAATTATATGATTTATATTAAAAACCAGTCAAAAGAATTAGGTTTGATCAATCATTAAAGCCAAAGGAGGGGTATTTGCATTGAGAGTGATGCAAGACATTGTCTAAAATGAACTAAATTGACTGAGCAAAATTGGCTACATAGCTGATGCAGGAAACCTATGTTCAATCTGTAAAGTTTTACCTGAAAATAAGAACAATGGAACTTTGTTAATGGAACCATGCCCTAGAATTACTTTCTGAAAAACTCACTGGAAGCAAATAGATGAAACACTTCTCACAAAACCAAGTCATAGGGACCCTTCTTAGCCCACAAGAGAGCGGGGAAAGGTATTAAGCACACTGTAAAAGGAACCAGGGTAGACTTTTTAAAAGTAATTTTAAAAGGAAATTATATACCCATTAGGTCAACATGAGTAATGACTTTGCCTCACAGGAAGTTGTCACTGTTCCACGACATGTGACATATGCGCAAAGGCCAAGTGTTGAAAGAAGACTCAGTTCTGTTACTTGTAACCCCATCCATGATTGGAAGCTCAAATCTGGAGAGTGACTCTGTACCTTTGCAGTCCAAACTGGAGGAAAATGTGTATGCAAGAAAAGGCAGCGTGTGTCACAGAGAAACTCCAACTGGTCACACCCGTGCCTATGGTTTTCGGGGCCTTGGAGTGAATCCTAGATTGGTACTTTCTTCTGGTTCATGTTTCAGCTTCTCGTGTATTTGAAGGGTGGCGTTTCTAAGTTGTAACTTTGAGAAGTGAACCCCAAATGGCGGGGGGATAAGTAAACATAGACAGAACTGCGGTTTCATTTGTTCTTTTCCACTCTCGGAACTCTTTGTATAAATAAGGATTATCCTAGGCATAATTCATTTGAATAAGAAACCAACATGCTTTCTTTTGTTTCTGTTTTAAAAAATACTACTAATAATCACATGATACAAAGAAAGCCTCATTTACGAAACCAACGATGAGGCTAAGAGGTAGCTGCCATGTGGCTGATGAGCGTGCCTAGGTAACTTTCTGTTTCTAATCAGAACTACTGCTTTATTTATACATTCAGCAACATTTTTCAACTATGAGATTTCAATGGTCTCAATTTTTTTAAGCCATTTAAGGCAAAAGGAAATTACCTGTCAGTTTATCTGTCCATGTGTGTTTTGTGTTTGGAAGTTTTCTATCATGTCATTCTGTACAATTTATTATTTTTAAACCAGAAAGGTAAAGAAAAAAAAAATGTCCCACGTTCAATATTTTCTCCCGTTATCTCTCGTCTTACCCAGTGACTTTGAAGAATCCAATCTAAATAGGGGAGAGCGGGGTGTGAGCAGTGGTTAAGTGCCATTACATTATCTGAAAAACAACCCAAGATATGAGTTCCGCTATGCAGACATCAGAATCCTCATTTAATCAGCAATACATATTAGGGTGAATTTAATCCTACTTTGGCTTATAATCACCCTGTAAAAGATTTCCGGTTCACAGAATCGTTGAGTATTCGGACGGTTGAGATTTTCCCTTTGACTTCCTTTAGTTGCCAAGACTTAGCTTCAACCTCACAGAACAAACTGAAACCACAATTCAATGGCATCAACCTTACCTTGTCTAAATGTTAACTAACTGGCCAGTGGAGGAGTGGGCTTTCATTTTCATTGTGGTAAGGGGTCGTCTGGGAGGCAGAGCACGCATAGTGACTGGGAGCGCCTCATGTGTGGGTATGTCCCCTGAGGACACCACGGGATCCAAGGGAACTGAAGGTGACATTAACAGGTATCGGTCGCTCTTGTCTTCGAACACTGGCATGTCTTCAATATCGCAAGCGAGAGACTGTTCTAGAAATGATCCCTTGACCTGACACCGGTCTGGCTAGACTATTTCCTTGATAGATTTCAATCATTCAGCTGTTGTCTCCACGCTTCCCTGGCATCAGTCCCTTCTGTGCTTATAACAGACTTGCTTTTACATAAAGCATGTAAAACACACTTCCACTTATTTCTAATGAGAAGCTGCATGGTGTTAAAAGTTCTCATATTAGAGATGGAAGACCCAGAGCAGAAGACTGGGTGGAGAAAGAAGTGTGATATAACTAGAGAATACATAGACTCCTTGCAAAAAAAAAAAAAAAAAAAAACTGCTTTAAGATCATTTCGACTGATGTACGACAAAAGAAATTAGATTTTTTTTTTCAAAAAAGAAAAAAAAACCTTTATTTGAATAACTTGGATGTCTATTATACACTCATGTACCTCTGACAGTGGCCTTTAAACCCCCATGAATGAAAAAGTGAGACTGGATTTAAATAAGACCTTTGCCTTCATGATTGAAGATAAATTTCAATGGGTTGTCTAGACAGATTGTAATATTAGCAGGAGGCCAAAAATATAGATGATTCAGTCTCATTCTTCATTTGAGTGTGCAAACTGCTGCAGATGAACTGACAAGCCGAGAGAAATTCTTGAATGGGTTTTAGTGATAAATGTTTCCAAAAGAAAATATGAAATCAAGTGGAAGGATAATATTTGTGTATGTGGATAACAAATTCAGCCCACTGGAGGAACCATACTTCACAGTGAAGTCGAAACATGTCATTGAGCTTTGATCTGTTAAGTTGTCTGCAGTAGGGAATAAAGGATTTTTTTTTTTTTTTTTTGTATTATTGTGCCTGGCAGCCTTCAAAATGTTGAGCTCACTGGGACAGCCAGCCTCTCACTCCAATCTGAGGGATTGATGGAATTTAAATAAGTTCATTGATTCCCTACATTCTACCCTTCCTGTGGCAGAGTGATAATGGGATTCATTAGTGAATCAATTCAGTTTACAAATGACATTCACTATGGCACTGGAAGACAGCTGAATCAAATTAACATTTAGTATTTCTTAACAGATAGTCTTAAATAGGAGATTGGTCCCTTAATCCAAGTGCTCTTGGTCTTGGCTGTCCTTGTCGGATTAAATAGAGTTGAGGAAAGTGTAAATGGTGGAAAGAGAAATCCCCGAGTAGCCCCAATGAGCGTTTAGGATGTGGGAGCAAGGGAGCTCACCCAGGTTGGTGATTTCTTCTTCTTATCTTTGGTTTTGTACTCCAACATCCTATGCTCCCCGTCGTCAAAAGGACAGAAAAAGATGGATAGCTTCACAATACTCACCTAGTTGTAGCTGTCAGTGGCAAGGTAACATTTCATGGACAGCTTCTTCCACTGGATTCTAAAATTGAAGTAAAGGGGAGATTAAGCTTGGAACGTGCAGGATAAACCACTAGACCTCTGAGTCACACTATTCTTCTGTTGTTGTCAGTCCAATTAATAATTGCTGCAATTAGAGATTCTTGCAGAAATACAATCACTCTCAATTGTTGAAGGGCTAATTATCTCCTTTGTGAATCCGTTTTGTCTTTTCCACTCTTAGGCCTTGGGCTCTATTTCCTCCTATGTCCTTTCACCCTAAGGGTAGTAAAAGAAACAATTGGAAATAAAATTCAAAATCAGTCTATTTTGTTTCTTAGCAGGCCTAGGTTTCTTCTAGGAGGTCAAAGTCATTGGTGAAACTCATGCCGGTGCATCATTCGCCATGGATTTGTCTTATCCATAACATCCCATCCCCATCTACCACGAATAATTGAGAGTGGGCTGTTTTCTTGCAAAATGTAAAGAAAAATAAACGGTAGCAAAGAATTTGATCTCCCTTGAAAGAAAGCTGTTTGGTTTCGTTTACTACTGAAATCTGAACCAGTAGAAAAGGTCAACTCAAAATTGATTAATGACAATAGATACTCTGACTCCTTTCTCAAATGTTTTGCACCTCCCAAATGTGTTGTGTTGACTTTTTTTTTTTTTTTTTAATTTTCATTACTGGAATAAGGCTAAATGACCTTCACACTCCAGTGGATGTTTTTATGATAACTTCAAATTAATGTCTAAAAGTGTAACGTTAGAGTTATGCTTTCTATTTTAGACACTCTGGTCTCAGATTATTAAGAAAGAGTCTCTGTCCTCCTCCCCAACGTATGTAACTCCCTCGTATAGAAAAAAAGGAGTCACCCCACACTTTTCAGGAACCGTAAACACTATTTCAAAAAGGCAAGGAAATTATCATCTCCATTTTTAAATCAATGCTTCCATTTATTTGAAAAAGAAGATATAATTGGAATCTTAATTGAAAGTATATCTAAAAGTGTACCTGCTATGAAATCTTCACTTTCTAAAACAATGGGGCATAGCAAGGGTTTTCAAAACCCTTGTTTCTGACCATATTTGACATTACAGAATTTCTAAACTATCGATCAACTTTGACTTTTATTTAAGAGCATTTTGTATTGCTGTCTCTGACTGTCACGGAAAGTTCTGTAATCCCACAGTGTTTCTGATTCCCCCCCCCCCATCTGTACCACCGTCAAATTAGCTACCATTTCCCCACCCGTTGGGCTTTCTGTAGATCAGTGGATGTTAGGTTTAAACTTCTGTTTTCTTTGATGAAGCTTTCAATAAAAAATGAAAATGAAATCAACCAAGGAGGGCCATTGTATTTTCCTTCACTCCTTCAGGGATGGGTTGGGGCTGCGGGAGGGAGTTCTGTCTGTACTTAAGTGGATATATCGCTAGTTTACTGCAGAATTACTCAAAGCCATTAACTGTTTCTGGTGATAAGAATAGGAGAAAGCATTCTGTTCGGCCAAGCACCTGGCGAAAGCCACTCTCTGGAGACTTAGAGTGGGAGGGCGCCGACCTTGGAGGTCTTCTTAGGACCTCGCATTCCTCTCACATTTCATTCTTAGGAATCATTAGCTTACTTTCTGCAAACGTGCCTAGTATCTCCTTTAACTACTGATGGCTCCTGGATGAAGATCAGAAGATCGGGCCTTATACCCGAACACATAATATAACTGTGACCGAGATTCCCCACGAGCTTAAATTTTAGGCCAGCCAAGATCAGAAATGTCCATTCTTCAGCTGTCGATGACTAGGGCGAGCAAATAAGGAAAATCTGCACCTTCTCATTTAGAGCTCCTACTCAAGGACCAAAAGTATCCTGTGCTACTGTAAGACGTGCGTGTGCGCTGTTGCTTGAGATTATCCAGTGTTACTGTAGAAGACAGGAAAACAAATGAAATCGACGAAATACATCTTGTGTTAAATACAGTAAAATAGGTAACCTTCAATGTAGCTATTCACATGGAGGGCACGTGAACACTGTTAGAAAGAGATGGGAAGGCCAAGGCACACTATATATTTATGATGCACTCGATATATATATGAAGCCGAGTAGGTTCACATAAACGGAAAAGATAGAGGAGAAATGGGAAGCTGCCAGTAGTTTTGAGATCTTCATGTGGCTACCCTTTGGCGCTCATTAGTGTGCTTCAATGATGTGTTCTTGCTTCTGTTGAGGGACATGACCTCTTTCATTAAGTCCTTCCTTCAGTTTCCCAGCTTGCTTCAGCTCCAGCTCTGGGCCTTGGAACTCACCTTCCTTGGTGAAGGATGACCTGAGAGGAGGAGACATGGAGTAGAAGTCGTTATGGAGGGTTCAATCAGTGCGGTCCTTCCACGGTCCTCTCGCGCCCCACTGTACAAGAGTTAGCCTGCCTACCCCAAGACTGGCTATGGGTTTGCAGTGGATTAAGTCCTGTCTGTTGGCATTTTTATTCGGCCTGTCAACTTTTCTTTCCCTCTAGTATGCATCCCTCTTGTATAACATGGATGCAAGTTCACCTTGAGATCAACCCCGGTCACTGTGTCATTTCCAATGTGACACTGTTGATGCCTTTGGAGATAAGATCCCAGACAGGCCATGGGAAAAGCTACCCAGCCAGTGTCCCAGGCTCGTTTTCCTCTCTATGGGTCAGTTGCTATCTTGGCAGAAGAGAAAATTGGAGTGGACTTATCGGTGAATGTAAAAATATAAGTTTAGAATGAAGATCCTAAATTTAATGTTATTTCACCTTCCAACAGAATACTGCTAGAGCAAAGGCTATTTGTGGATTGTTATTTCGGAAATGCAGACCTTTAAGAAGATAATTATGTCCCCACCCATCACCATACATGTTTGCTTCAACTTATAGGATGTTTGGGAACCTCCTGCCATGTATCCTGGAGTCGTGGGGACAGCTTGATTTCAAGATATAAAGATGAGAGAAAAAAGAAAATGAAAGAACAAGTTACATGATGTCCCTGGATATAAAAGAACCATACTGTCTTGAGCTCACAGCCACGCACACTTTAATGCTTCACAATTTCTCTAAGAACTGAGTGCTTCATTAGCTCATTAGGTCTATAATAAGTCATGTTCAATAATACTTAAAAAGAAAAATGTTCTAGATGCTTGTCAAAGCCCGCAAAAAGTATTATCTCTCTAACTTAATCTGAAGGGATTTGACCATTTCTGGACTTTTTGTCAAGGGGGTGTCATTTCAAGAGCAGCGATGAAGTTGCTCGTCCGCTAAGAAACTGTCTTTCCACCGAGGTCCTAAGGAAGCAGAGGAAGCAGCCTTTTCTCCCAGGATCCTTCTCACGCTTAGGAGGCTGCAGGTTACTGTTGTTGTTGTGATTAAAGCGGTCACCAGGTGGCGCTGCAGTATCAGTCTCCAGTGGATTCCGAGCCCACGTTGTCTGTGTTCTTAGACGAACCAGAGAAGGCTGCAAGAGCAATGGTGGACACTAACTGAACTTTCACTAGGTGCCAGGAACTGAGCCCGGTGCCCCACAGCCCGCACAAGAGTGCTCTGAGATAGGTACTACCATTGTCCCCATTTCCCAGATGAGATTGGGAAAGTTGCTGATCGAATAGTCTTGAGCCTGCGTTTGAGAAGGGTTATAGCATGTGACTTTAAAATCAGATCCCAAACTACAACCTTCGCGTGCCAGTGCGGAAAGCGTCCTTTCTTTAGGGGGGAAGGGGGAGTGTTAAAAAAGATTTGTGTTTTTCAAACGTTTGCGCACTTTGCCTGCGATTCCGTGGCTTCTTTATAAAACGGTATTGGCCTTTCATTCTCAGCACCCTGGTCACAGAGGCCTAACCCAATGCACATCTTCCATCCCAGAAATAACGGTCTGTTGCAATCATCTCTCTGATTTGTTCTGGAAGGAAAGGGTCTATCTGCCAAGTAGACAGGCATAACTTTTCATTGACTCGTTCATGTAACGGGACCAAACACAAGGGCACGCTATAAATATTTTAGTGATACGAAGATAAGTAGACATGGTTCTTGTGTACAAG